CTGTGGCCACTAGCGTCCTCATTCCTCCGTAGCCCACTCTGGAGCCCGGACAGGTAGGAATCTGTGGACGTGAGGATTCGGTGGCTGCCGCCCCATCCCCCACAGTGTGGTCATATCCGGTGTAAACGTCGTTGGGCAGGTCTCACAGGCAAGACCAGAAATGCACACGCTCAGCCCACAGTCTGTCGGCACCTCCCGTGAGCGTGGCAGTCATTCCCCGAGGTGGGTGGGCCCTGAGGGACTTGATAAATACGGAGATTCTGAGACCAACTGGAGTGATTGGTTCAGAATCATCTGGAACAAGACTGAAATCTATACAGAAAATTGTTAAAACACACAAACACACAGGCCCAATGGTGCCCTCGTGCTAAAAGTCCAACATACAAAACCTACACTTCAGACCTAATGTGACTGCAGGCAAAACCTCTCCCAGAAACATGCACTGAATCAGCCAGGACGGAGTTTTCTGGTCAAGCACCAGGAAGGTCTTCTGTCACATGGGTCCTCCCCACAGAGAGAAGAGGCCACCTGGCCCGGCTGGCTTGCCTCAGAGGTTGAGTGTCGACCTATGAAGCAGGAGGTCACTGTTCAATTCCCAGTCAGAGCACATGCCTGGGTCGCGGGCTCAATCCCCAGTGTGAGGCGTGCAGGAGGCAGCAGTTGATCTATGTTTCTCTCTCATCATTGATGTTTCTCTCTCTCTCTATCTCTCCCTTCCTCTCTGAAATTAATAAAAATATCCTATATAATAAGAGGATATGTTAATTAGCCTGGATATGCTAATTAGTCATGACCAGTATGCAAATTGACCATCACTCCAACACAGAAGATGGCCGCCCCCATGTGGTCAAAGATGACTGCCCCCATGTGGCCACAAGATGGCCAGCAGGGGAGGGCAGTTGGGGGGAACCAGGCCTGCAGGGGGATCAGGCCTGCAGGGGAGAGCAGTTAGGGGTGACCAGGCCTACAGGGAGGGCACTTGGGGGGGACCAGGCCTGCAGGATAGGGCAGGTGGGGGTAACCGGACCAGCAGGGGAGGGAAGTTAGGGGTGACCAGGCCTGCAGGGGAGGGCAGTAGGGGGCGACCGGGCCAGAAGGGGAGGGCTGTTGAGGGGACCAGGCCTGCAGGGGAGGGCAGATGGTGGTGTCCAGACCTGCAGGGAAGGGCCATTGTGAGGTTCAGGCCTGCAGAGGAGGGCAGTTGGGGGCAACCAGGTCTGCAGGGGAGGGCAGTTGGGGGGGGGGGACACCAGGCTTCCAGGGGAGGGCAGTTGGTGGTGTCCAGGCCTGCAGGGAAAGGCCATTGTGGAGGCCCAGGCCTGCAGGGGAGGGCAGTTGGGGGCAACCAGGTCTGCAGGGGAGGGCAGTTGGGGGGGGGGGACACCAGGCTTCCAGGGGAGGGCAGTTGGTGGTGTCCAGGCCTGCAGGGAAAGGCCATTGTGGAGGCCCAGGCCTGCAGGGGAGGGCAGTTGGGGGTGACCAGGCCGTTGAGGAGGGCCATTGGCGGTGACCAGGCCTGCAGGGGAGAGAATTGGGGGCAACCAGGCCAGCAGGGGAGGGCCGTTAGGGGCAACCGGGCCTGCAGGGGAGGGCAGTTGGGGGAGATCGGGCTGGCAGTGGAACAGTTAGGTGTCGATCAGGCTGGCAGGGGAGTGGTTAGGTGGTGATCAGGCTGGCAGGCAGAAGCAGTTAGGGGTAATCAGGTAGGCAGGCAGATGAGTGTTTGGGAGCCAGCAGTCCTGGATTGTGAGAGGGATCCCAGATTGGAGAGGATGTAGGCTGGGCTGAGGGATACCCCCTCCCCCAGTGCACGAATTTCGTGCACCGGGCCTCTAGTCTAAATATATAAAAGGCTAATATTCTATGTGTCCGACTGTCCAGGTAATGACGTCACGTAGCAACACCAGGCTTTCTCTTGCCAGCAACGACTAGTCTTGCAGTTTCTTCAGCCCAGGAACACGACTTCCTTTATAGCCAGGTGCAAACATTTTACACTTTAACCAAATGTCTGTGAAGCATTTTCCCATGCCTCATCTCATTTTATCCTCACAGAAGTCCTGGAGTAGGTAGATAGGAGACTCGGTGGAATCCTATTTTCTGTTCATTCACCGGAAAACAGAGAGTTAGAAAGCTTAGAAACTTGACCCGACTGAAAAGAAGTAAGAAATGGTGGACTTTGAAAATGACTCCAGGTTTTCTCACTGCCCAGAATATAGTCAAACACTTCTGCAGTTAAATATTTTACCCTTTGTTCTCCCTGCATGATCTACAATAATAATGTGTTGATATTTACTGCTGTGTTGCTGACAATGACCTGAAAGAGAAGTTGGGGTGCTTCACTGGGCTGGAAAAAGTTTAGCTAAATCAGAAAGCAGGTCTACTTAAGCAAGTTTATTCTATATCTATAAAAGGCTAAGTTGACTCACGCATGTGCGACACATATAAAGTTCTTGCTGGTGCCAATTTCACACGTGTTTCGATCTGTCACTGTCGATCATGAATTTGGTTGACACTCTATTACAGAGAAAGGGTGAATAGCGATATTAAAATATTTCTTCTAATTAATTTCCTTTCAATGTGCACAAATTTGCCATGAGGTCCCGGCAGCATCAGCTGCGATTTGGTGGGGTGTGGCTCTGGGGTTGGCGGGGCCTGTGTCCCACTTGGGGGAAGCTGAGTGTTGCTTTGTGGGCGCCAGGTCCACAGTGCCATTTCTCTGTGCCAGTCCCAGCAGCTCCTGCATTGAGCAACTGCCCCCTGGTGGTTAGTGTGCGTCACAGCAAGTGGTAGGACGGAGGGAGGGACACTTAGCATATTAGCCTTTTATATATGCAGATGTGGCACAGGGCATACTTATTGTTCAAGAGCATGAGCCGATTCCATTGAAAACTGCTTAGACATGAAGGCTTTAAAAATTTGCTATTTTACATCATTTTTGTACCACATCTAGGATTAATTTAAATAAGGCGATTTTTAAACATCTCGTGAATGTTTCATCATGAAGATTTCTATTCTCATTTTTATTTCAGTAGGACTGGTGTATTGCAATGTGATCCACAAGCATGAGCAAGAATACAGGCAGAGCCCGGTCGGAGTGGCTCAGTGCTTGAGCATCGAACCATGAACCAAGAGGTCACTGGTTCAATAACCAGTCAGGGCACATGCCCGGGTTGCAGGCTCCATCCCCAGTAGGGGGTTTTCAGGAAGCAGCCAATTGATGATGTTTCTCTCTCATCAACGTTTCTATCTCTCTATCACTCTCCCTCCCTCTCTCTCTAAAAATCAATAAAAACATATTTTTTAAAAAAAGAATGCAGGCAGATTTCTCAAAGTGCACCTCCACTTCCTGTGACTTTATGGACATCATCTGTAAGGTCTGTTGTGTGTGAAAATACGGGGCAATAAAACTCAAAATCAATGTGATTGCCCAAAACCAATGTTACAACCAGCCACTGCACCCACAGAATAGTATCATATCCATTTAGGCACTGGCCACAATTGTGTTTTTCTCTCAAGTGCATGGCTTGCAGTTTCTAGAGACAAGTCCACCCCGTTCATTTCGCTGGAAAAAGTCCTTTAGTTGGGTGTTCACTGCCAACTGTACTTCTGTGTTGATTGGACAACTACCTAAAGGGCACCGCTCTTTAGAGACCTTGCAAAAAACAAACAAACACGTCTTCAGAGAGAATGGCTTCACTTCCATCGTCCCTCAGAACTCTGCTTCCGAGATGGAAAATAAGCTGGTCATTCAATCCTCCGTGTAACTTGTTTTCCTCTTTATCAAACTCTGGGACGCATCGGGCCATAATCCTCATGACCGCAGCGTATCTGGTGAGTGGACTAGTTCTTGATCCCCTATTCAGTAATAAGGGGGCCTGGGTTTCTCTAACAATAGTAGATGCCTTATAAGCTCCACTTCTGATTTATGTCCCTTTAAGACCAACATTTGAATTTCAATTCTAACTAGTGTATTACAATGTGACCCTAGGTTATGGGCTGAAAGAACTCAGCAAGACCACAGACGTTCCTCAAAGGGCACCTGCCCTGCCAGGGACTTTGTGGACATCACCCGTGGGCTAGTTGAAAATGAACCTTTTCCCATTTCTGTGCACCCAGTGTTTTGCCTCCCCGTCCTTCCCAAGGCCCTGAATTGAAGGCATCTGAACTCCTGGAGCAGTTGTCCAGGGAAAGGGAACCAACAGCCCCGCCCCCAACCCTTGGGAGCAGACAGGGAAAGACTTATTCTAAGGAATTGTTTAAAATCGCGGGTGCTGCCCGCAGAAAGAAAACCATGGGCGCATAGACTGGTGTCTCGGGGCTCCAAAATGGGACCCCTCGTGGGCAATAATTCGTTGGGCATTAAAGGAATCCGGCTTGATGAACTCAAATGCCCTCGGCTCCATAGGCAGGACTCTCCGAGGAGCCTGTGTTACTTCCCTCACTTAAGGGCAGATTTGTAATAAAAATCTTCATTCCAGGGAAATGGTTTTTTGATATTTGAGAACCTAACCACTTGGAGAATCCTATGTGAGAGGTCAGAAAACTCCACCGTTAAAGATCGGTGTATAATTTACGCAGAAAATAGAAAGTTTTGTTTCTCAGAGTTGAAATCTGACGCGCACGGTGGGAAATATTGCTAGTTTTTCGCATAAAGGTGTGTCGTTCCCGCGTAACGGGACCCCTGGGCGAAGCCTGAGACTTCGGGGATCCCTTTCTGAGCAAAACCGGGCAATTCGGTGCAGGGGATTTTGATATTTTGAGCATTTTTCGAGGTGTAACAAACACAACTCGGGATCCGACAGGACACTCTGCAGCTGCCAGCGAGGCGGGCTGGACAGCGCACCAATCACGGCGCAGCTCCGCCCTATATAAGCGCCTTCTGTGCAGACGATTTTTGTGGGCTTCAAGTTTTGGGGGGAAAACAAACACAAACGCTCTTCCCCGCGAGGGGCGGGGCGAGGCCTAGGCGACGCACCAATCAGAGCACGCCCTGCCCTATATAAGGCGTGAGGGCCCCCCGGCCGGCGCTTAACCCTCCTCCCTGGCTCTTGTCCGTGGACCCTCCGCCTGTGATGTCCGAGACGGCTCCTGTGGACCCGGCTGAGCCTGGCCCGGCTTTCATGGCGAAGCCGAACATCAAGAAGCGAGGGAAGAAGCAGGTGGGCCTGGCGGGTGTGAATCGCAAGACGCCAAGCCCGTCGGTGTCCAAGGTGATCACGGAGGCCTTGTCGCTGTCCCAGGAGCGGGCGGGCATGTCGCTGGCCGCGCTCAAGAAGGCGCTGGCGGCCGCGGGCTACGACGTGGACAAGAACAACAGCCGCATCAAGCTGGGCCTCAAGAGCCTGGTGAGCAAGGGCACCCTGCTGCAGACCAAGGGCACCGGCGCCTCGGGCTCCTTCAAGCTCAACAAGAAGGCGGCCTCCGGGGAGGCCAAGCCCAAGGCCAAGAAGGCGGGTGCGGCCAAGCCCAGGAAACCCGCGGGCGCGGCTAAGAAGCCCAAGAAGCCCGCGGGGTCCGCCACCCCCAAGAAGAGCGCCAAGAAGACCCCGAAGAAGCCCAAGAAGCCGGCGGCGGCTGTTGGAGCCAAAAAGGTGAAGAGCCCGAAGAAGGCGAAAGCAGCCAAACCCAAGAAGGTGCCCAAGAGTCCGGCCAAGGCCAAAGCGGCGAAATCCAAGCCGCCGAAGCCGAAGGCCCCCAAGCCCAAGGCAGCCAAGACCAAGAAGGCGGCCAAGAAGAAGTAGGAAGTCCCTTTGGCCAACGGTTAACACACAACACAACCCCAAAGGCTCTTTTCAGAGCCACCCACGGGTCTCCAGGAAAGAGCTGTTGCACTTTTT